TGACCTCGTGATCCACCTGCCTTGGCCTCCCACACTGCTGGGATTACAGGCTTGAGCCACGGCGCCCGGCCTAAAAGACCCCTTCTTCTTAAAGACTTCCCCTAACTGAGGAACAGCTGGGCTGGGCTGTCGCCTGCGGTATGCATCCACGTGGCCCTGTGCTTCCTACCCAGCACTTTCCACATTTCATTCTGTTTCATGGTGAAAGGGACGACACGACACGGGGGACAGGGAAGGAGGGAATGCCCTAGCTCCCCCCAGGGCCTCTGGTGGCCTGTGGCCTGCAGGTGAAAGGGAGGTCAGTCCTACAGCAGCCACGCCCATTTAGCCTTCTGCCCTTACAGCAGGTCCAAGCTTCACCATTCTTGGGCTTCCAGACCCCAGGAGTAGGGTGTTGTCTTGGGGGAAAGCTTAGGTCTTGTCCGTGGTCAGGCTACCCCTACTCGTCTGGCTGCTCCAGCTGCCCCCGTTATAGGGCAGTGCCATTTGGGGCCAGGAAGGACTGTTTGTTCAATTCCCACAACACAGGGGCTATTATCAGCGGCGCTGGAGGGGAGGGACAGCCGTTCCATCTCCCGAGCCAGTCCCAGCCCCCCTTACCTGATTGCCTCCCTAGGTTTTATCGAATCTCTGTGTCTCACAATTACCTCTAATTTCATTGCCATCATTGGAAAGAAGAGCGCTTTTCCCTGCAGCTAAGATTTTCTTATGTTCCCTCAGCTCTGCCTCTTCAGTCCCCAGCCTCTTCCTTGCACTCCCAGGGAGTGACATGAGCAGCCATTTCCTGGGACTGGAGCTCTGCCTGCACCCCCACCCTGGCCACTCACACCTCAGCCATGCTCCCCTGTCGTGCCCCTGAGAGCAGAAAGCAGACAGTGGAAGCCCTAGGGCAACCCAGAGGTCCCCAGTTTAAGGTAAATGCTGCACTGGGCTTTGCTCTATGGTCCAAGCAGCTGCTCCCTCTGGAAAGAAGTTTTTAATGTGCTTCCTCCTTCCTGCTCCTCTCCGAAGACCCTGCTCCATCCCTGTATCTCAGGCAGGCCGAGGAGGGGAGGACCAGGCTTCAGGAATGGCTTGTTTCATTCATTCAACAAATACTTATTAGATCTCTAATATGTGCTAGCACTAGACAATCAGAAACTACTTATTTAACACAAGTGTTAGGTTCAGCACAGTATCGGATACTCATCCCCTTCCCTGAGCATGAACAGGTGCCGGAGGCAGTGCAAAGAGGGTATCTGAAAAAGATTGAAGGCTGCAGAGTCACCAGAGATAAAGAAAGGACCGTCCTGGGGTAGTGAGCATTTAGTCCAGGGCATGAGGGAAGGGTATGTCTGCAGACAGTGTGCTATCAGGGTATAGCTGTAGACATGGCACCTGCCTTTGAGAAGTTTCAAAACTAGGGCTGGGCGCAGTGGCTCACTCCTGTAATCCCAGCATTTGAGAGGCCAAGGCAGGTGATTGCCCAAGCTCAGAAGTTTGAGACCAGCCTGGACAACATGGCAAAACCCCATCTCTACTGAAAAAAAAATCCAAAAATTAGCCAGGCATGGTGGTACACGCCTGTGGTCCCAGCTACTCGGGAGGCTAAGGCAGGAGAATCGCCTGAGCCCAGGAGGCAAAGGTTGCGGTGAGCTGAGATCACGCCACTGCACTCCAGCTTGGGTCACAGTTTCAAAACTACCTGGGCGCAGAAGCAATGATGCATTGAATTCAGGTCCAGCACGATGGAGGTGACAGTCATCCTTGATTCAGAGATAAGAAAAATGAGGCTCAGAGGCGCTCACCCTTTCTTCTGCTGTGCCCACCTGACCCTCTGTGCTTCAGGAATCCTAACTGTGCTTTGTTCTCTGCCAATACTATGCTGTTTTGCATCTCGCTGCCTTTTCCTGTGCGGTTCCTGCTGCCTGGAACACCGTTCCCACCATTCCTTCAGCACCGTCTATAGCTTGCATTCTGGGAGTGCTAGGTGAAGTGCCCACCCAACTGTTGGTATCTCTCAACTAGACTGCAGGCTTCTCTAAGGCACGAATCGTGACTTTGTCACACTGGTCCTGCCACACTTGGCGCGGTGCCTGCAGCAGAGTCAGGGTTCTCAAATTATTGACTGAAGAAATAAATATATACAGCCACCTGTCTGAAGTAGTACTATGAGCATGAGGCAAAATGGGCTTTCAATCATGCTTGCCCCTCATATAAAGCACCTTTGTGTGCATTAGGGAAAGATCCCCCCTCTGAGTGGGTGCACGGCAAAAAGGCAAGTCTTCCGGGCAGACCAGCTGGGAAAAGGTACTCCTTCCCTGGCTAATGCAGCCCTGGGCCAGCTCTCAGTGCTTGGCTGAGCCAGCGAGTAGATTTTAGCCCTGACTCGTGCTTCTTGGGCATGGTGACCTAGCGCAAGTACAGCGTGTTTGAACTGAAGTCAGCTTGATACCGAAACCCATGCCTTTCTCTGCCAGATGAACAGAACAACGTGCCCTCAAAACATTTTCCAGCCAAGAGAAAGCTGTGTGTGTGTTTGGGAGTGGGTGGACGTGTGTGTGTGAGGGAGACAGAGAGAGAAAGAGAGATTTTTGGCAAGGAATAGGTAAAAAAAGCAAACAGCTGCTGCCATGTGCCTCTGAGCTCAAATGCACAAGGTATTCTTTGCCCCCAAATCAAGCAGAACAATCCTCATCCCCTTGCCTGAGCACAAACAGATGCCAGAGGCAGTGGGAAGAGAATATCTGAGGAAGACTGGAGGCTTCAGGGTCACCAAAGATAAAGAAAGGCCCCTCCTGGGGCAGTGAGCATTTAGTCGAGGGCATGAGGGGAGGTGTGTCTTCAAGCGGTGGAGTTCAGGGCTGCAGCCTGCTGTGATCATGCCTGTGAGTAGCCACTATACTCCAGCCCGGGCACTGCAGTGAGACCATGAATGACTCTAAAAAATTTAGATCTGAAATCTGAAGGCTGAGGAACTGCAAGCAGAAACTGAGCATGTTTTTCAAACAGCAATATAGGATTGCGTATGAGGAAGTGAGTCTTGCAATGCAAAAGTATGGGTAGGGGATCTATAAAAGGGTCAAGTGAAACCGTCTCAGTTTGTGTATCTGTAAAATGGGGATGATAATACCTACGTCCCAGAGTCCTCACAGATGAAATTCAATAACACAGGTGAAATGAGTAGCATGTGGCACACGGTCAACATTGACTGAACGGTGATGGCAATTGTTTAGATTAACAGACTGGTGATGACTGACGATGATGGGGGCGGTGGCGGTGGTGCTGTAACATTTAGGCTAATGAATGTCTGCCGCTGAATGTCAAGGTGAGAAGAGCCGTGCTAGTCCCTTCTAGAAAGGGAGAAAGAACAAGAGCCTCTCATCCTGCTTTCGTTCCCATCTGCTCCTCTTGTGGCTAATGCAGATAGCGAGCAGAGTTGCTAAAAGCCTTGGCACGAGAACCACAGGACTGAAATGAGTGGAGAGAAAGCTCTCAAGCCCTTCAGGTCCCCCTGCCTGTCACTCCATCTTCCTGCTCCCTGAGAAGGATGGAGGAGGAAGGAGCATGGGGATACAGCTGGGGACTTGGTGCTCTTGGTAGGGTGAGAGGACAATGGAGGGGAATGGAGAGGAGCGAGAAGTCGGGACAGCTGAGATGGGTGTTGAAGGGTGTGGAAATACATTGTGTCTCTGCTGTGCTTGAAGCCTGTACTACGGACGCCACCCATGTGTACAAGAGACTGTTATTTAGCAATCCGCAAATATTTAGTGAGTGCCTATGTACCTGGCACTGTGGTCGGTCTTGGGGATCAGCAGTCACAAAACAGAGATGGTCTCTGTATTTGTGGAGCCGACTTACATTTTAGCCCAATTTAAATATTTGATTACTTTTTGAGCAAAAGTAGCCACAGTGACGTAGACCAAACACCTTGGGACATCCTTGTCTCGTTTCTCTCACGCTGCCGCTCTAATCCACTGGCAAGTCCTATTGGCCCCATCTTCAACATGCACCCCCAGTCTGACCACTCCTCACCACCTCTATGGCCCCAATCCAGCCACTGCCATCTCTAGCCGAGACAATTGCCTTAGCTACTCCTCTGCTCAATGCCCTGCCTGTGGCTCCTTATCTTACTTGGAATTGAAGGCCAGGTCCTTGCATTGACTCACAACGCAGTCATCATCTTGCCTCTGATTGCCCCCTTAACACCATTGTACTGTGGTACCAATAAGAGCTAGAAGGGCTGGGCGCGGTGGCTCATGCCTGTAATCCCAGCACTTTGGGAGGCTGAGGCAGGAGGATCATGAGGCCAGGAGTTCGAGACCAGTCTGGCCAACATGGGGAGACCCGGTCTCTACTAAAAATACAAAAATTAGCCAGGTGTGGTGGCAGGCACCTGTAATCCCGGCTACTTGGGAGGCTGAGTCAGGAGAATCACTTGAACCCAGGAGGCAGAGGTTGCAGCGAGCTGGGACTGCACCATCGAACTACAGCCTGGGTGACGTAGGGAGACTCCATCTCAAAATAATAATAATAATAATAATAATAATAAAGAGCTGGAAGAATGAAATAAAACCCACCTTCTGGAAAAGGCAAGGAGGCAAGACAAGCTTGAGCCTCCTTTACCACCAGCAGATTTTTCAGGAAGCACAGTGTAATGGGCTCCTACACTGGACCCTGCCTTAAATGAACAAATTGCAAGAACAGTAATGGAAGATCAGAGCATTTTAAAGATACCACTAGAAATATGGTTAAAAATTAAAGATAAGCCTCACACGGGGAAAAAAATGTTTGCAGTTCCAACAAAAGATCAATATCCAGAATATACAAATAGCTCCTATAAACCAATAAGAAAAATAATCCCATGGGAAAAATGGGCAAAGGATATGCAAAGGCAACTCACTTGCCTTTAAAAAAATAAAAATAAAAAAGGAATGGTCTCTTGGGAAAAACTTATAAGCCAAGGATCATTAGAGAAGAGAAGGCATAGGCTCTATTCTATTCTCCTGTTATCACCAAGCCAGGAAAAGGGCAGTGTGGGTCTATATTCCAGGAGATGGAATTCTTATTCATGTAGGTCAAGCATGAGTGTAAATTTACCTGCGAAGATATACACAAGCTGCTTGGGTGCCGGGCAGGCTGGAGGGGAGAGTCCTTTTTGCTGTTATTATGGAAAGTTTCAAATGTATACAAAGGTAGAAAGAAAAGCATGATGAACTCAATGCCCCAGAATGCTTTTGGCTTAAACCACTACACTTCTCAAGGAAAGGCTCCCCTGCAAGAAAACAGAGGAAAGTCCCACCTTCCCCATGGTGGGCAGGGGTGGGCAAGGGTGGGCTATGGAGGGGTGAGAGAGTGTTGGGTGGAACCTTGCAGAGGAGCAGCATCTGACAGGCTGAACGGAGAAGTGGGAGGATTGCAGCCCCTCAGGGCTGGCTCCGCAGACCATTGCACCACAAAGCTGGGGACAATCTGAAAATTAGGGCTGTTCCTTTTTTTTGTTTTTAATTGAGACATAATCCACATACTATACAATTCACCATTAAAAAATGTACACTTCAGAAGGTTTGAATATATTAACAGACATGTGTAACCATTGCCATTATCTAATTCTGTATATTTTCATCTCCCCAAAAAGAAACCCCATACTCACAAGCAATAACTCCTTATTCCCCTTTTCACTTACTCCCAGTAACTACTCATCTACTTTCTGTCTCTACAGATTTGTCTATCCTGGATGTTTCATGTAAGTGGAGTAATGCAACATGTGACCTCTTGTGTCTGGCTTCTTTCACTTAGCAGAATGTTTTCAAGGTTCATCATGCTGTGGCAAGTATCAGTACTTCCTCCTCTTTTAATGCTGAATAATATTCTATTGTATGAATATACCGCCTTTTGTTTATCCATCCATCTACTGACAGACACTTAGGTTGTTTACATATTTTATCTATTATAAATAATACCACTATGAACATTTGTGTCCAAGTTTTTGTGTGGACACGTTTTAATTTCTCTTGGTTATATACCTAGAGGTATTTCTGTGTTGAATAGTAACTTCATGTTTAACTTTGAGAAACAGCTAAACTGTTTTCCACAGTAATTGCACCCTTCCTAGAAGCAGCATATGAGGCTTTTGATTTCTCTACATCCTTACCAGTATGTGATGTTTTTCTTTTAAAGGTACTCTAGCCATCCTAAGGGGTATGAAGTAGTATCTCACTGTGGTTTTGATTTGCATTTCTCTGATAACTAATGATGTTGAAGATCTTTTTTGCTATGGAAACAGGAGCCTAGGAGAGCCAGAGTGACACCATTTAAAAATCCACTCCATCTGAAAACTAGCAAGGCACATTCCTTGCTAGTCAGAGATGATCAATACAATTTCAGTCTTCACGGGGCTCACTATCTAGAAGATAACATAGTAGGTAGTTTCTCAGCATCTAATCAAAAGGTGAAAGATTAATTCTATTCATATGTTTCAAATGTGCCCTGCAGGTGCAGAGACACTGCCATTGGAACTGACAGAGATGCTCAGGTTAGGTGCCACGTTAATTTTTCCTCCGCTGCCACTGAGCCTCTACGGCTTCGATCCCTCCTCCGGGCACCAGGGGGCGCTGTACACATCTCTCAGCGTTGGCCGAACAGTGCCGCGCTCTCCCCTACTTCCCTCCTTGCTGGGCCGCACTTCCGGTGGCTGGCGGAAACGGGAACCTGCAGCCGCGGGCGCCGGGGTCCTGAGGCATGGCGGGGGCGGGGCAGGGGGAGGCGCGCACGGAACAGGCTGGGGCATCCTTCTCCTTGGCTCTTTGAGCCTGGACCAGACAGGTGAGGACTTAACCATTTTTGGCCCAGCCTCCACGCCCGTCAGACCCTCCCCGGCAGGCTCCTCCCCGCATGACGCCGATGCCCGGAGGCCCCGCGGCCCCCGCCCTCCCTCAGAATTCTCTTCCCATTGAGGCCCCGCCCCGGGCTTTTCTTTCCGGGGGCGCCCCTGTGGGCATATATGCCCGCCCCTTGGCATCCCCTTCTTGTTTTAGAGGCCGTCGCTCGGAGTTGAGGGACACACACACCTTCCCCCATAGGGAAACTGAGACCCAGCAAAGGAAATGGACTTAATACCACACAGTGAGTTAGAGTCCCACTTCAGTCAGGCTTTCTGAACCTCTTTCACTCCGTAAGGTACCAAACGCCTACGGTGTGCCAGCCCCGGTGCTGGGCTCTGAGAATACCGGGTGACCAGGGTAGACCTGGTTACTTCCTGTCTGGAGAGTACAGGTTAGCGAGGGAATCAGATTAAACACAACCATGCAAATGAAAGTGTAAATACAACTTGCGACGATTACTTTGGAGAAGACAAAATATAATAGTAATGGGGAGTCCTGTTTTAGATAGGATGGTCAGGGAACACTTCCTAAAGGAGACCCCACTTAAGCTGCAACTTGAGAAGTTATGGCAAGGGTCAGGGGAAATGCATTCCAGGCAGAGGGAACAGTCCCTGTGGATGCCTGAGTTGGCACAGAACTTCCTATTAGGTAGGTCCAGTGTTCAAGAAGGAAGGCTTACCACGTGTCAAACATGGTGATGAGCATACCGAATTTAGTGTTCGTGTACTGGTCCTTGGGACCTCACCATCTAATGAGGGCCTTAAACATAAGTAAAATCTTCATCTCAGCTGCTCAACTCTACTTATGTAGGGTAAAAGCAGTACGTAAATAATTGGGTGTGGCAGGGTTCCAGTGAAACTTTACTTACAAAAACTGGGAGGTGGGGGTCAGGCGTGGTGGCTCATGCCTGTAATACTAGCACTTTGGGAGGCCAAGGGAGAAGGATCACTTGAACCAGGGAGGTCCATGGTGGTGCCACTGCGCTCCAGCCTGGGCAACATAGTAAGATCTCCCAAAAACTGGGAGGCGGGAGGTGGGCTAGATTTGGGCGGATGGAAGTAGTTCGCAGACCCTTGCTGTAGTCTAGATCAGAATATATTTAATGTCCTTACTCAGTGCATGTAACTCCAGTGCAATTGAAACAAACGTTTTACAAAACAATACTTACTATTACAATATGTGACAAATTGATATTTTCTATTTTCTATGTCAGTAAGACTATTCACTAAATTAATTCAAGGTCCGATTAATGAGATTTGAATAGCAGCTTGAGAAACTTGCTCAGTCATGGAGGTATGGACATTTTTAACTTGACTGGGTATTATACTTAAAGGTATTTGGAACCTTTTCAGAAGGGGACAGAATATGAATAAATACCTCATTGTGTGTGTGTGTGTGTGGTGTTTGTTTTAGAGGGAGTTTTGCTCTTGTTGCCCAGGCTGGAGTGCAATGGCTTGATCTTAGCTCCCGGAAACCTCCGCCTCCTGGTTTCAAGTGATTCTCCTACCTTAGCCTCCCGAGTAGCTGGGATTACAGGAGTGTGGCACCATGCCCAGCTAATTTTGTATTTTTAATAGAGATGGGGTCTCTCTGTGTTGTTCAGGCTGGTCTTGAACTCCAGGCCTCAGGTGATCCGCCCACCTTGGCCTCCCAAAACGCTGGGATTACAGGTGTGAGCCACTGTGTCCGGCCTATTGTGTGTATGTTTTAAAATGCAGATTGGATCCAGTCACTCCCCTGCTTTCCAGTCTTCTCCTAGGCCTTTCTTATTACTCACTCTGTGCTTCCTGTACTCTAACCACTTGGAATTACTCTGTTTCCCAAATGTGCCATGTCATGCTTTTTTAAAGTATGTCTTTTAGGTACCTTTTTTTCTGTTTTGTTCTTCTTTTACTTTGTCTAGTGTATTCTTATCCTTCAAGGTCCATGACAATTGTTGCTCCATTAATTCATTTTAAAATATTTATGAGCACTTAACTGTCCCTTCTCCTAGGTGCTGGGAATACAGCAAGGAATTAGACCAGTTCCCTGCTCTCTGGTATGGGGGGATGGATACTAAAAAGGTAAACAAATACTTTAACTTCAGAAAGAGATAAAGGCTATTAATACAATAGGATATATCAGTAGATTCATGTGGGCGGAAGTAAGGTGTCTGGGGAAGATTTCTGAGGAGGTGCTGTTTTAGCTGAGACTTGAGTGAGAAAACAGAGGCAGATATTTCAGCACTTAAAAGATGTTCCACTTCTTTCTGCCTCCATAGTTTCTGATGAGCAGTCTACAGACATTTGAGTTGTTCTTCCTCTATAGGTGATACATGGTTTCTATCTGGTTACTCTAGAGATTTTTACTATATATCTTTTAGTTTTTTCCAGTTTAGCTATGATGTGTCTGGGCATGGATTTCTTTGGATTTATCATATTTGGGGGTTTGTGAACTTCTTGAATTTGGGGTTTATATCTTTAGCCAAATTTGGGAAGTTTCCTTCCTTTCTTCCTCCCTTCCCATCTTCCTTCCTTCCTTCCTCTCTCCCTTCCTTCCATCCTTCCATCTTTATTACTTTCTTTTTCTCTTTTCCTTCCTTTCTTTCTTTTGACGAGGTCTCACTCTGTTGCCCAGGTATGATCTTAGCTCACTTCACCCTCTGCCTCCCAGGCTGACGTGATCCCTCCCACCTCAGCCTCTTGAGTTAGCTGTGACTACAGGTGCATACCACTGTGCACAGCAACTTTTTGTATTTTTAGTAGAGGTGGGGTTTTGCCGTGTTGTCCAGGCTGGTCTTGGAACTTCTGGGCTCAAGCAATTTGCTCACCTCAGGCTCCCAAAGTTCTGGGATTGCAGGTGTGAACCACCACAGCCAGCCGTCACAGCCATTATGTCTTAAATTTATTTTTGTTTTTGCGTTGTACTTTCTCATGATCAGGGTGTTAGACCTTTTGATATTTTCCTTAGGGCCCTGAGGCTTTATTTTGACTTTTTTCAGTCTTTTTTTTTT